GGACACCTAGTGGCATCGCAGTGGACCTTTGGCACAGGGCTCTTGGCACCCTGGCCGGACCCTCCTCTCAGGCAGGCGATGGAGGCGGAGGTGGAGGGTTGGTCTCTCTGCCCCCTGCCTTCCAACAGCCAGGTTAGGACCTCTTGGATAAAGTCCATGAATCCCAAAGGTCCCAGGAAGTCCTTCCTGAGCCTGCCCTCCCCCTCACCCAGTTTCTCTGAAAGTTCCTTCCAACCCAGGAGGGTGGCTGGTGCCTCAGGAACCTGCTGCTGCTATAGTGAGTCACCCCGGGTGCAGTGTTGCGACCACGCCAATTTATCATCTTCCAGCCCTGGAGATCAGAAAGCCACTATCTCACTGGACCAAAGTCAAGGTGTTGGCAGGGCTGTGCTCCTTCTGGCCCCGGGAGGGAGGGCCCCGCCTCCTCCAGCATCTAGAGGTCACTGTGCTCCTTGGCTGGGAGCCCCCCTCTCTCTTCAAAGCCTTTAGGGAAGTATCTGCATGTCTCTCCCTGACCGACTCCTGCTTTGGTCCTTAGGTCTCTTCCTCTTCCTTCTCCTTTTGGTACTGGGGATTGAACCAGCTCTACTGTTGAGCTACACCCTCAGCCCTTTTTACTTTTTAATTTTGAGATGGGGGTCTCACTAAGTGGCTGAAGCTAGCCTCCAACTTGTGATCCTCCTGCCTCAGCCTCCCCAGTTACTCAAATCACAGGTGTGCATCCCTGTGATCAGTTCAGGTCTCCTTTGTACAAGGACCCCGGGCCCAGCCATTTAATACAGGATGATCACCCCTTCTCAGGACACCTGGTCATATCTGAAAAGTCCCTTTTTGCCATGTAGCATCATGTGCAAAGGTTTTGGGGCCAAGGGCATTGATTCTTGGGGACAAAAGCAGATTTTGTCTCTAAGCCTGAGAGTTTCACACTCTTGTTAAATGAAACAGGACCACGCTCATGTTTTACTATGTTTTAGCTAATAAATAGTAGTTTCAATCATTTGATCACATTCCCAAAAGTTTATATAGGTTTGGGGCTGGGAGGTTTCTCAACACTTCAGTTTGCACCTCTTAGATAAGGACTGAATCTCCCTTTCTCCTTTCTGTTACTGCTTCTGCTCAGGCTACATGTTTTTGGTTTACACCAATTGCAGAAGCCTCTTAACTTGGCCTCCCTGCCTCCACTCTTTCCCCTCTTGCCTGCTCCAAGCCACGCTCCACATGGTCATCAGAACACTTTGTTGTACACATGACCTCAGGCTTTACCTCTCTCTTTCTGTGGGGCTGGGGATTGAACCCGGGGGTACTTTACCACTGAGCTACATCATCCCCAGTCCTTTTTATTTTAATTTTTTGGTTCTGCATATTGAACATCCAGGGGCAATTCACCATGACCCACATCCCAGCCTTTATTTATTTATTTGTTTTTGAAACAGGGTCTCACTAAGTTGTTGAGGCTGGCCTTGAACTTGCAATCCTCCTGCTTCAGCCTCCTGAGTTGCTGAGGTTACAGGCTTGC